AAATGTCATTCTGCGGGAATGCGCAATCTTGTATTCTATCGTTCTTGGGTTGGTACATGATACAAAAAATAAGGCAGTTTCAATAAGCAACTTTTTGATCAAAAGGAGATTTTTGACCATTTCTCAATTGTAAAAATTCGAAGCGGCGTTACCCAATTTAAGTTTTTTGGCGGAGGGGATTTTATATCCTAAATTTGGGAGTATAAGTAAAATAGTTTTATCAACATTTAAATTTTAAAAATAATTAATATCCGATCTTAAAAACGTTAAAATTTTACATTAAATTCGATAACTACTTGCCAAAATCTTTATTTTTACACTAATAAAGTTATAGTGAACATATTTTAAAATTTTTTAGTGCCATTATGTCATCTTATTATTACACAATGTAGCTAACCAGTGACTATTACAGTTTTCTATATCGGATACGATTGTTTCTGATATAATTAAGACACTGAAATTACACACTTCGATATTGTCTTTGTCCATGTCTTTGAAGTAACTTGAAAACGGAATTTACTCTGGGGCTCATAGGCCTCATGACTTTCAGAGAAGTGAGTATTTTCCAATTCTAGTATGTTTGGACAATATCGTTGTTTCTCTGGGTAAAAATAAATATATTTTACTGTTCAATATTAGAAGGGGTGTGAAACGGAATTGATGATTTATTACACTGGTCTACAAATTTCAACTTTTTTTCTGCGAATAAGACGGGACCTGGTGTTTCTGAACGGATTTTTCGTGCTGAACACGAATCCGGGGTCAAAAATGTCCCATCACGTCACGTTTTCGAGAAAATAGGGGTTGAAACCCCTAAAAACAGCGTTTTTGGCCATTTTCGAAAAATTATAGAGCTGAACCCTGACGTGGTACAAATTTTGCATATATCAGAAATTAAAGGCTAAACCGTGCCCTTTCGAATGAGCCCTATGCCGAATTGATCGCGTGCACCCTTAAAGCAGGGGGTGTATTTGTGTTTAGGGGTGCAGGAAAAATTGATCACAGAAAGAATTTAATCTTAAACGATCATAGAAAATTAATAATGCCAAGGTTTTAACTATATTAAAAGTCGCTGATTACGAATCTGCAGTTAGATTTTAAAAATTTAAGATGACGGGTCGAATATGGTGGATATAAAAATTGTACTCCTAGACACAAATACACCCCCTGATCTAAGGGTGCATGCGATTAATTCGGCATAGGGCTCATTCGAAAGGGCACGATTTAGCCTTTAATTTCTGACATATACAAAGTTTGTAGCACGTCAGGGTTCAGCTCTACAATTTTTCAAAAATGGCCAAAAACGCTGTTTTTAGGGGTTTCAACCCCTTTTTTCTCGAAAACGTGACGTGATGGGAAGTTTTGGACCCCAGATTCGTGTTCAGCACGAAAAATCCGTTCGGAAACACCAGGTCCCGTCTTATTCGCAAAACCCTTGTAGACCAGTGTTATTAGTATGAAAACTAGAAACACAATTATCAACTTATTGAGCATTAGACCTCTTCTCTTTCAAAAACAAAAGGGGAAATGTTCGGTTATTTGTGCAATGGTTTTGGTTTTTGTACAAATAACCGAGCCCAACAAAATATAACAATAACATCCAAACAAAATATGTATATTTTGCTTGTTCAAATTTCGGTTATGAGAACAAAATGTTTGTGAATAAACAAGAAATTAATATCAAAATTTGAGCATTTTAAAATATTGGATACAGTAGCACGAATGTCACAATCTACTTAATTGTCAGGTTGTGTGCCTGTGGCATATATGTAATACTTCTATATTGGCAGTAAGCTAACTTCTCAATGTGTAAGCATTCCGAAATCAAAGCGAGACAGTCTAGTATCGTTTTTGTCAATGTATTGTGTACTTGAGTGCCGTTTTTGTATATGTGTTGTGTACTTGTTTATTTATAAGCGTATGCGTTCCTTTTCTTTCGTACTTGTTTATTGATATATCTGTAATGTAGTGTTTTCGGCCGGTACTAGCTCTTAAGAGCCTGTCAGACGTGGCAATATTTCCGTCTTTCGCACGCAATTCGCTGTCAAATTGAGAAAGAGAAATTTTATTTCGATGTGTTAACAGCCAGAAAGATCTTTCTGTCACCTTTCGGAAATCAGTTTCAGAAATAAAAGTTGCAAGGTGGGACTGCAACAGCAAGAGCTAAAATCGATTTTGGAAATATATTTCAACTTGCTCGTGCTGCACTAGCAATTTTCATTTCTTCTGCAAGTGCTGTCAAACTAATCGAGTGTTGCCGTGTGGCCCTGATCGTGAATTTGTGTAAAATGATAAAAAATATTGTTGAATTAAATATCAAAAATGCTTGAAATATATTATTTTGCTAATATACTTAATCGTAAAATTTTGGTTTTCACGGCAAATATGTTAATTATAACCTATATTTTCTCGCTTTTACAAGAGAAATAGCAAACAAACGACAACCCCACCGCCCATGGTTGCATTTTAGTATCGATAAAGATTGCCAGAAACTCATTCGCTGTGTGAACAGCCAAAAAGCGATTTCAGAAATTTTTCCTGCAATTCGCCGTTCGGAAATAAAAACCTCTTTCGAAAGACACTTTCCATGCAAGGTGTGACTGCTCATGCAACTGATTTCTCAATTTGACAGCCTTTCCGAAATGTATTGCATCGAAATATATTGCCACGTCTGACACGCTCTTTACTGCCAATATAGGAGTATTACCATGAACCAAAAAGACAGATCACGCGGGCAGGAGACTAGCCCGTTAGAATCGCATTAAGGAAAAAAGTTTAACGATTTTGACATTAGCCGTTTATTTACATTTCTTCGTTGTTTACAATTTGGTGGTGGCTTTTTACTGCAATTTTCTTCATTTTCGCTTGTGACAACGTGTGTACACATAAGATAAAGAATAATTTAACACAACGGCATGATTTTTAGAAGAATTTGCATAATAAAAATGATTTTTCATGCGTTCAACAATTTCGCGGTTTTCTCCGTTCTCTTCGTTGTTTACTTCTTACAGCAAAGATGGCGTCGAGATTTCGGCAGCTAGAAAATAACTTTTTTCGTTCTTTCCGTCCCGCGTGATCTTGTGTCTTTCGTTCATGGGAGTATTACATATATGGCCTGTGGATATACGAGACAAGTGACAGCTATGTTCGATAGCTCCTGCAACTTCCATCTCTTACCGGGCGATAATTAAAAATATCGGGCTATCGTATTTGCATTGAATTTTCAATACGTGTATTGTGTCCGGATTGCACATAGATTGGATTGTAAATTAACACATTTTAACTAATTGTATTATTTTATAAAAGTATACAACAAACAACTTGATACTCACGGTATATGACTGCATATTACAAGAAATCTGAAGCATTTTTGAAGAACAATTGTACATGGATTCGTAACATTCTCATTTGAGTTGACCGAAGGCAGTGTTATGTGGATGTAAAAAATCTGAATCTATAAGAGATATATTTTATCGTTCAAATCTTTAAAGCAATAAAATGGATATGTGGCAAAAACGAGCACTTGCGTTTTGTTTAGTATTGTTGTTGAACGACTGGCGAGCGTTCGCAGATGAGCATAACCATAAGGTAAGAATCGAAAATACATTCTCGATTGGTTTTTGTTAATTTACTTTATTCAAGTACAATGACCGAGAAGAGGTAGTGCTGTGGATGAATACAGTTGGACCGTACCATAACAGGCAGGAGACATATGCCTACTTTTCCTTGCCATTTTGTAGTGGTGCCAAACAAAGTATTTCCCATTATCATGAGACCCTTAGTGAAGCACTCCAAGGTGTCGAGCTAGAGTTTAGTGGCTATGAAATAGACTTTAAAGGTTAGCAAAAAAATATGTGGTTTGAATATCAGTAATTTATTAAAAATCATACAGTTGACGTCTCTCCAACCGTAATTTGCATGATCGATCTAACAATTGATAAAGTGAAGGCTTTTACATATGCTGTTAAAAACCAATATTGGTATCAAATGTATATAGATGGCCTGCCGATCTGGGGGGAGGTTGGCAAAAAGGATGAAACGGAAGAAAAGTATTTTATTTTTACGCATAAAAAATTTGAAGTTGGTTACAACGGTCAGCAAATTGTTGATGTGACTTTGCACAACGAAAAAAGAGAGTTGTTAACACCAGGAGCCAAAATTAAGTTTTCTTATGAAGTAAACTGGAAGCCAAGCACAGTTGAATTTAAAAATCGGTTTGACAAATATTTGGATCCGAAATTTTTCCAACATAGAGTGAGTATAATGCTTTGAATACGTAACATAATTAATTAATTTAACAAATAAATTATTGCAGATCCACTGGTTTAGTATTTTTAACAGTTTTATGATGGTCATATTTTTGGTTGGATTGGTTTCAATGATTCTAATGCGTACTTTACGCAAAGACTATGCGCGGTACAGCAAGGACGAAGAAATTGATGATATGGTAATACTGGTTGAACATTGCCGAATGCAGTTCTGGAAAAATTTTATATTCCATATATCGGTTTTATATTTTTAGGAACGTGACTTGGGTGACGAATATGGCTGGAAACAGGTACATGGAGATGTTTTTCGAACCCCTCCACATGCTTTGTTATTTTCCGCTATGATAGGAGCTGGTTGTCAATTAATTTCCGTAGTTCTCGGAGTCATTATATTTGCGATCGTCGGTGAACTATATACAGAGTGAGTATGAGTGATTATGTAACTTAAATAACGCCTATGTAAAATATTCTAATTACCGATTTTAGATGTCTTCAAAAATTAGTTTTATTTACAAACAAATTTTATAATCACACAATAAAATTTAATTTTTTCTTGTAATCTACATTTAAAGACGTGGATCAATGCTATCCACTGCCATATTTGTGTATGCAGCAACATCCCCCGTCAACGG